GCCGAGGCGGGAGGAACACCCAATCTCTACAAAAAATAAAAAAATCAGCTGGGTGTGGTGGCGCACACCTGTAGTCCCAGCTACTGGGGAGGCCGAGGCAGGAGGATCGCTTGAGCCGGGAGTTTGAAGTCGCGATAATGATGACATTGCACTCTAGCTGGGGTGACAGAGCGAGGGACTGTCTCAAAAAAAAATAAAAGTAGGAAGCAGTGCTTTCGCAGGGCTTATCTATAAGTTAGGGTTTTAGGATTGCCAGGCCTCTTACCTAATGCAGATGTGGATTCCACCCAGGCTGTATCTGCATTGTAGGATTTCCAAAGAATCGTCATGGGCAAAAGGTCAAGGGTCATTTGAATAGCACTAGAGTTCAGTAGCTCTGTGTGTGCCAGGATCACACATCTCAGTGCTCAGGTCCTGGCTCTGCTCAGAAACAGAGTAGGGACTTTGTCCAGGGCAGCTGGCTGCTGTCATGAAACACACCAAGCGGGGAGACTCTTCTGGATTAACTGAGATTTAGGGAACTAAAGCAATATGACAAGTAAATACAATCTTGATCCTTGATTGGATTCTGGACCAGGGGTGGAGGTGGGGAACTATAAAGGGCATTTTGGACATAGTCGAGGCTTTTTAAAAATGAATAGTAGATGTGTTAATTTTGTTGAATCAACACTGAATTTGTTGGGTGTGATACTGGCATTATGGCTATATAAAACTGTCTCTGTCCTTAGGAAGATGCGTGCTGACACAGTTAGGGATGACATGTCGTGATTCCCATAGTTACATGCACCCGCACGTGCAGCGTGGATGTGTACAGCGAGAGAGAGAGACTGCAAAGATGGTGAAACGTTAACCGCTGGTGTATCTAGGTGAAGGGTGTGTGAGTATTTGTTGTATTATTCTTTTGACTTTTCTGTAGGTTTGGAGTTTTTCGAAATATAATGTTGCAAAAAAGAAACCCAGTAGGAAATTTCTCGGGAAAGGGGTTGGTTTTTCAGACACCCTGGTGCTATTGGTCTGAGTGGGCAGCACAACCTCCTTCTGTCTGTCCTTGCCATGCAACTCTGCCCCGGTTCACCTAAAGTTATCCTGCTATAGGTCCACCTTGTGTCCCCTCCCCTCACCAGCCTTGCCCCCGTAGGTGTGCCCTCCGGAAGCCACAGAGACCTTAGCCTTTCCAGAGCGGTTGAGGAGCAGGTGGACCCCTTCCCCATCACCTGCCCTGGCCTTGGTGATGCCAGCGTGGTCCCACTTTCTGTGTTCTTACCAAAAGCACAGAAGCGAGGTAGCGGAGGGCTAAATAGATACATCTGGCCGTTGTTCAGGTCACCCTGAGGGTCTCGTCTTTAGTCAGCTTGAGCTGATATAACAACATAGGGTGGGGGGCTTAAACAACAGAGTTATTTCTTAGAGTCCTGGAGGCTGGAACATCCAAAATCAAGGTGTTGGCAAATTCGATTTTTGGTGAGGGCTTTCTGGCCTGCACACGGCCACCTTCTTGCTGCAGCCTCGCATGGCAGAGAGGGGTGTCTCTTCCTCTTCTTACAAGGGCCATAATCCCATCATGGGGATGCCACCCTCATGACCTCATCCAAACCTAATCATGTCCCAAAGGCCCCCACCTCCAAATACCGTCACACCAGGGGTTAGGGCTGCAACATACAGATTAGAAGGGGACACAAGGCAGTAGTTTGTAACAGGTCTAGTGACTTACTGGGAGAAAAACTATAAATAATCTGAATGTTCATTAATTAGGACATTGGATTAATTAGTAAATTGGTAGAAATGAGTAAGGAGGGAAGCAGAGCGTGAAACAGTAACGGTGTTCACAGAGATTAC